TCGGAGTTGGAATATACGCTTTGACGAGATGATCAAAGATTTTGGGTTTATACAAAGTTTATGAGAAACTTGTATTTCCAAAGAAGTGAGTGGGAGCACTATAGAATTTCTAATGAGTATATGTTGTTAACATATTGTTGATCGGAAATGATGTAGAATTTCTAGAAAGAATATAGGGTTGTTTGAAAAGTGTTTTTCAATGGAAAACCTGGATTAAGCTACTTGAACATTGAGCATCAAGATCTATAAGGATAGATAAAAAATGCTTAATAGTACTTTCAAATGAATACATACCGTGACAAGATTTTGAAGGAGTTCAAAATAGATCAGCAAAGAAGGAGTTCTTGGCTGTGTTATAAGGTGTGAGTATTGAGTAAGACTCAAGAGCTGACCGCGGCAGAAGAGAGAGAAAGGACGAAAGTCGTCCCCTATGCTTTAGACGTAGGCTCTATAGTTTGCTGTGTTGTGTACCGCACCTGAAGTGTGCCTTGCCATGAGTCAGTCAAGGGGTACAAGAGTGATCTAGGAATGGATCACAGGACAGCGGTCAAAGTTATCCTTAGTAACTAGTGGACTAAGGATTTTTTTCTCGACTATGGAGGTGCTAAAGAGTTCGCCATAAAGTGTTACGTCGATGCAAACTTTGACACTAATCCAGATGACTCTGAGTAGTAAACCTGATTCGTATATTAGAGCAGTTATTTGGAATAGTACCAAATAGCACGTGGTAGCTGCATCTACAAGTTGACGTAGAGATTTGTAAAGCACACACGGATCTAAAAGGTTCAGACCCGTTGACTAATAACCTCTCTCACAAGCAAGATATGATCAAACCCCATGGGCGTTGTATTCATTACAATCACATAGTGATGTGAACTAGATTATTGACTCTAGTGCAAGTGGGAGACTGTTGGAAATATGCCCTAGAGGCAATAATAAAATGGTTATTATTATATTTCCTTGTTCATTGTAATTGTCTATTGTTCATGCTATAATTGTATTAACTGGAAACCATAATACATGTGTGAATACATAGACCACAATATGTCCCTAGTGAGCCTCTAGTTGACTAGCTTGTTGATCAATGGATGGTTATGGTTTCCTGACCATGGACATAGGATGTCATTAATAACAGGATCACATCATTAGGAGAATGATGTGATGGACAAGACCCAATCCTAAGCAGAGCACAAGATCGTGTAGTTCGTTTTGCTAGAGCTTTTCTAATGTCAAGTATAGCTTCCTTAGACCATGAGATTGTGCAACTCCCGGATACCGTAGGAATGCTTTGGGTGTACCAAACGTCATAACATAACTGGGTGGCTATAAAGGTGCACTACAGGTATCTCCGAAAGTGTCTGCTGGGTTGGCACGAATCGAGACTGGGATTTGTCACTCCATATGACGGAGAGGTATCTCTGGGCCCACTCGGTAATGCATCATCATAATGAGCTCAATGTGACTAAGGAGTTAGTCACGTGATCATGCGTTACGGAACGAGTAAAGAGACTTACCGGTAATGAGATTGAACGAGGTATTGGGATACCGACGATCGAATCTCGGGCAAGTAACATACCGATGGACAAAGTGAATTGAATACGACATTGATTGAATCCCCGACATCGTGGTTCATCCGATGAGATCATCGTGGAACATGTGGGAGCCAACATGGGTATCCAGATCCCGCTGTTGGTTATTGACCGGAGAACGTCTTGGTCATGTCTGCATGGTTCCCAAACCTGTAGGGTCTACACACTTAAGGTTCGGTCACGCTAGAGTTGTTATGGGAAATTGTATGTGGTTACCGAAGGTTGTTTTGGAGTCTCGGATGAGATCCCGGACGTCACGAGGAGTTCCGGAATGGTCCGGAGGTGAATATTTATATATGGGAAGTCAAGTTTCAGTCACCGGAATGGTTTCGGGGGTTATCGGTATTATACCGGAACCACCGAAAGGTGTCCGGAGGTCCACGGGTGGGGCCACCTGCCCCGGGGGACTTAATGGTCTGAATATGGGAGGGAACCAGCCCCCTAGTGGGCTGGTGCGCCCCCCCAAGGGCCCAAGGCGCCTAGGGTTTGGAAACCCTAGGGGAGGGGGGGCGCCTCCACCTTGCTTGGGGGGCAAGTCTCCCCATCCTGGCCGCCCCCTCTAGATGGGATCTAGAGGGGCCGCCCCCTCTCCCATTCACCCTATAAATAGAGGGGGGGGTGGGAGGGCCGTTGTACCCTTTCCTTTGGCGCAACCCCTCCCTCCCCAACACCTCCTCCTCCTCTGTAGAGCTTGGCGAAGCCCTGCAGAAATACCACAAGCTCCACCACCACGCCGTCGTGTTGCCGGAGCTCTCCCTCAACTTCTCCTCTCCCCTTGCTGGATCAAGAAGGAGGAGACGTCCCCGGGTTGTACGTGTGTTGAACGCGGAGGCGCCGTCCGTTCGGCGCTAGATCGGATCTTCCGCGATTTGAATTGCCGCGAGTATGACTCCATTATCAGCGTTCTTATAACGCTTCCATTTGCGCGATCTTCAAAGGTATGAAGATGCACTCCCTCTCTCTCTCTTGTTGCTTGAATCTCCTAGATAGATCTTGGTGATACGTAGGAAAATTTTGAATTATTGCTACGTTCCCCAACAACGGGCTGAGGCAAAATCTCCGCTCGGCTTGCTGATGTTGGCAGCGATAACGCCTGTTGGTGTCGTAACCTCCTTGCAGAGCTGCCATGGTCCTGATCATGTCTCTCCTTGAGCGCCATGTGGAACCCTTGTTTCGGTTCACCGGAACAAGTGACAACGGTGTCACGACGTCGTTCCCTTTATGGAGGCACTGCCTTGGTTGTTCGCGGTGTCCTCAGTGATGGAGTTTGAGGCATCTCAGTTCTTGGTGTGGATTGCCTCTCAGGACATGGGCCTCGAGGGGCGCAATGTATGCCATCGTCGACGCATCTTGCGTGTCTTCTTCTTCAGGTCCGGTTAGGTCTTGCCACCCACTTGCCGACCCCTCTATCCGCTATGTGTTGGGTGGTACATTGATCCAGTCAGTTCTGTATTTGTTGCTGTTATTTGGATGTGTGGTATCAATGAATGTGACTTATGGGAAATGTTGGAATTATGTGGTTCTGCTTTAGTTAATTTAGATGACAGTAATGATGATCTTATGTTGTTATCTGCTGAAGCTCAAACTGATCAGGCTGACAATAAGGCCATCAAGCTCCACTGCATCATTGATGATCAGGCTGCTACATTGCTACTTGATTTAGGCAACTCTCATTAGTTTTCTCGGTCAACAGTTTATTTGTAAGCTACCTCATCAACACCCATTGTATAAAACTGCAGAGCGTGTAACTTGCAGGGGTGAAGTTGGATTGCACACACTAGATTCCCTAATGTACTTGGGCAGCTGCTGGATTTCAATTCACAACTGATTTTAAGATTCTGCCTCTTAAGTACTCCCTCCGTCCGGAAATACTTGTCGCATAAATAGATGAAATTGGATGTATCTAGAACTAAAATATGTCTAGATACATCCATTTTCCCGACAAATATTTCCGGACGGAGGGAGTACTTCGATGGTATTATTGGCATGGGTTGGTTGTTAGCCCGAGGAATGATGAGTGTCAATTGTCATCAAAAGTGGATGTCATTTGATTACAAGGGTGTTTTTTTTGCAAGGTGGGCCACCGGCTAAGTTTTCTTACACTACTATGGAGTTGCAATTTTATTGGCAATGCATGATGCTGACGGTGAATATGAGTTTGTTTTCTGTCACTCCTACTGGTCAACCGCAATTCCTTTAATCGAGGGTGCTAAACCAATCGATATCCAACCTTGTAGATATTCGTCAGAGTTGAAGTCTGAAATTGAAGTGCAGGTGGGTGAGATGCGCAAGTCTGGAATGATAGTACACAGTTTCAATCCCTTCGCCTCACCTTTCATGGTGCACAAGAAGGACCTGGCATGGCGTCTATGTGTCGATTACATACATTTGAACTTATTGACTCTCATGTCCAAGTTTCCTTTACCTGTTATTGATGAACTCTTGGATGAATTGGTAGGTACTCCCTCCGTCCCATAATGTAAGATGTTTTTTAAGTCAAAAAAGGTCTTACATTATGAGACGGAGGGAGTACATCCTAGTTTTCAAAGCTTTATTTGTGAGCAGGTTACCATCAGATTTGGTTGGCCCTAGGTGAAGAGTCCAAAACCGTGTTTCATTCTCACAAAATTGCCACTCGAGTTCAATGTCCCGGCGTTCGGTTAACAGGCGCTCCAGCAACCTTCCAAACAGTTATTTGGAGATGTACACGTGTAACTTTTTTGAATTTTTTAGACATTTAGAAATGTGTTTTATGAAGTGGGTACATATGTAACAAGGGTTCATCCATGTATATTCCGTATAGTTTGCCCAATCTCCCTGGTTTCGACTCCGCCGTTTGACGATCCTAAATTTAAAATGTATGGACGATAAATTCAACATTGCGTACGCAAGCTATGCAACACCAAATCGGCACCATCAGTTTCGTACGAGTGAAATATAAGCACCGTATAAAGTTCAGAATGACCATACCGCAGCTTATATACAACAATATAAAGTTGGGGCAACAAGATCTGAACTAGTCCCATGCATGGAAGCATGTAGACTCGCGTGCACGTGATACATTCTTTTTCATGCTATATAATACATGACCGTCAGATTTCCTATAAAACGAACAGCCTCCATATAACCAGTTATTTTTCCGTGAAAAAAAGTGAATCAAAACAGAAGCATTCTCCGAAAAGAAATAAAAAAGGAAAGAAGCAATTTATTGCAGAAGCTGGCGTCCGACGTCACCGATCCGCGCCTCCCCCGTCCCAGCCAATCGCAGCGCGCCTCGCACCCCAACCCTAACGCTATAAAACCCGAGGCGCCGCCCCGGGTTCTCCTCCCACCCCACCAAATCCCCAGTCCAGTCCCCACCTCTCGAGAGGGTTTAGAAGCTTCCAGACCTCCCCCAAAGGCGAATCGGCGATGAGTTCCACCGGAGCAGGCGTCGCCGGCCGCGGCAAGGCGAAGGCGACCAAGTCGGTGTCGCGGTCGTCCAAGGCCGGGCTCCAGTTCCCCGTCGGCCGCATCGCGCGCTACCTCAAGGCCGGCAAGTACGCCGAGCGCGTCGGCGCCGGCGCCCCCGTCTACCTCTCCGCCGTCCTCGAGTACCTCGCCGCCGAGGTAACCTAGACATCATCGATCCCCCTTCCCTAGTCGATCGGCGCCCGCCCGATCTCGTGCGCCTCGCCCCGCCTCGCCCGATCGTTCGTTCGTTATCCGCGATTCGAATCGGATTGGGGTTTGATTCGATGGTTTCCGTTGTCGATTGATGCGTACGCAGGTGCTGGAGCTGGCCGGGAACGCGGCGCGGGACAACAAGAAGACCAGGATCGTGCCGCGGCACATCCAGCTGGCGGTGCGCAACGACGAGGAGCTGAGCAAGCTGCTGGGCTCGGTGACGATCGCCAACGGCGGCGTGATGCCCAACATCAACCAGGTGCTGCTGCCCAAGAAGGCCGGGCCCAAGGGGGATCTGGGCTCGGCCTCGCAGGAGTTCTGAGCCCGCGCGGCTTCAAGGCGAGGAAGGGGAGGCCGTCCTGTCATGTGATGTTCATCTGAAGTTGTGGGTTGGGGTGTTTCGGGAGTCTGAAACTCCCGATGGAAAAAAACCTTGGTGTCTTCTCAACTCTGTCGTGGTTGAGTGAATGAGTCGATCGATCGGTAGAAGAGGAGAGGAAATATATACTCCTATGTGGTTTCTTATATGCGAACATATATATGTTGCTCAGTTGTCTTTTATGATTGATATGGTTCGGTTGTTTGAATGATTGAATGAATTCGCTGTGAAATTTTAGTTACAAGAATCTGACTAGTCTTCGTCTGAAAGAAATGATAATCTCGCCGTGGAAATAAAACCGCTCCTCTTAGCCCAGTGGAAACAAAACAGCATCAAACGCTGTTCTTTCAGGCGATTGAACATAACTCTTAAGTTGCAGAAGTTAATTATCTCTCTTGATATTATTTTGCCACCACGAAGAACTGATTTCACCATTGAGAATGGGATTGTTGTGATGTCTGATTATCAAAATAAAATACAGAAAAATGCTGTCCATATATATATCTGTGGCTGCAACTGCAGTGTCTGAATTAGCCCCCCCCCCCTGAATATATCTCTGATTGCTGGTAATTTTTCCAAGATTGGTTGATGATTTAGTTTGGTTTGATCATCCGAACGAATGAATTCCCAGGGGCGGCCTAGTTTCAAGAATCTGATTATTACTCTTCGTCCAGAGGAAACAGAAGAGCAGTAAAATGCTGCTTGCACGAACGAATGTTGTTCTTGGCATTCTCTCCATTGACTTCTGTGCTAGTGATCAGCAATTTGTTTCACCATTCGATTCTTCTCATCACAGTAAAAAGAGAATGTCTGATTAACAAAATGAAAAAGATTACAAAAATGCTATACATCAACAGCTTTGCCTGCAATGCCTGAATTACACACCCTGATCAGTAAAGAATCAACTTGCTTGCTGCTCGTGAAGTGTTGATCGATGGGTTACTTCTTGCCGCTAAGGATGTTGGCCCTCATGGTCTCCAGCTCTGCCATGTTGGCCTCGACGCCGGCGAAGGACGGCTCCGGGATCGGCTCCTCCACCATCTGCGACAGCCTCACGAGGCTCCTGCAGGCCAGCACGGCGCGCGCGTCCATGCTCTCCATGGCCCTCAGGTAGAGGCACTGCGACGCCCGGGCGGCCTGCGTCCTCAGCTCGTCCGAGTTGGTCGGCCCCAGCAGGCAATGCCCCACGACCCGCAGCGCCGGCTGGAACAGCTCCCACGGCATGGGCACCCTCCGCCACTTCTCCTCGCCGCTCTCGGCGGACGCGATCCGAGCCTTGTCGTCGCTGCGGTGCTTCCCCGTCCACGCGACGCAGAACTCGCAGAAGTCCATCTTGGAGGAGAGCGGCATGAGCCCGATCTTGGCGTGGTAGAGCTCCAGCACCGCGCCGACGATGCGGCCGCGGCGCGTGGCGCGAATGCTGCCGTGCGGCTCCAGCGCGGGGGAGAGCTCGGCGACGTCGGGGTCGTCGGCCTTGCCCGTCTTGGCCGCCGGCGCCGCGGACGCGGGCTTGATCGCCTCGTGGTACACGCTGGGCTTGGCCATGTTGGGCAGCGCCACGGTCTCGGCCTCCCCGGCGCCCCGCTGCGCCACGGCGTGCGCGTACAGCGTGAGGAGCACGGCCTCGAACCCGGCGAGCGGCTTGCGGGAGACGGCGCGGGACATGTACACGCCCGCGAGGGTCGGCACGAAGCGCAGCACCGCGAGCTGGAGCGCCGGGAGGCCGGACTGGAAGGTGCCGTAGAGCCAGCCGCAGAGGGCGTCCTGGCCGGCCCCCGAGCCCGCGCCGCGGAGGCGCCCCGTGACGGCGCGGGCGACGCCGTCGTCGTGGAGGAGCGCGGCCGCGGGGTCGCCGGCCGCGGCGAGGGAGTCCGGGAGCGCGCGGCCCAGGATGGCGGCGAGCGAGTCGACGGCGGCCTTGGGGCTCTGGATCGCCTGTGGCGCGGCGGACGACATCGTCGTGGGCAGCAATGCAGACAGGAGGACGAGGCGGAAGAGGCCGGCGTCGTCGACGTGCGGGACGTGTGGCTCGGTGCGATGGAAGGGAAGGGCCGAAAGAGGAGGCGAATGGATCGGAGGAGGTTTGAGCGGGCGGGGCGCTATGGCTTCAGCTTTGACCCGGTTCGTACGCTCAACGCGAGCAAATCAAGGGAAGGGCGTGGAGGCTGGGCACACCCGCCATTCACGCATGCAGACGAGTCTGTGCATGTCATGTGTGCAGTTTGCAACGCAGAAATTTTGGAGGGAACTCCTTTGGAATCCGTTTGCAACCTACTCCTCGAATCTTTCAAAAAAAGGGCGGGTGGGGGTACATATGGCATTTACTACACTTTTTTTCGCACATTTCTAAGTTTTTTTTAAGAATCGGATTTATTATAAAAGTTCACCGAAAATAAAAAGTATCTCAAACATAACAAAAATTACATCGAGATTCCAAGACCATCAAACGACCACTACTGTTGCCATAACAAGCTGGCGACGCGCCGATGTAGCCCTACCGGAGCTGGCTTGACCCTGTCGATGACAGTCAGGACGTCTTCGTGCATGTGCCTCTAAGGACCAGCGTTCTAGAGTCACAATCGTCGTGGAGCCATATGACGAGAAACCCTAACCACACAATCCGAAGGAGATGACAGCAACATACGCCAGATCTCTATCGACTACGTCTGTCGGTGTCAAAACCGGCGGATCTCGGATAGGGGGTCCTGAACTGTGCGTCTAGGCGGATGGTAACAGGAGACAAGGGACACGATGTTTTACCCAGGTCCGGGCCCTCTTGATGGAGGTAAAACCCTACGTCCTGCTTGATTGATATTGATGATGTGGGTATTACAAGAGTAGATCTACCACGAGATCAAGGAGGCTAAACCCTAGAAGCTAGCCTATGGTATGGTTGTTGTTCGTCCTACGGACTAAAGCCATCCGGTTTATATAGACACCGGAGAGGGCTAGGGTTACACAGAGTCGGTTACAATGGTAGGAGATCTACATATCCGTATTGCCAAGCTTGCCTTCCACGCCAAGGAAAGTCCCATCCGGACACGGGACGAAGTCTTCAATCTTATATCTTCATAGTCTTGGAGTCCGGCCGATGATGATAGTTCGGCTATCCGGACACCCCCTAGTCCAGGACTCCCTCAGTAGCCCCTGAACCAGGCTTCAATGACGACGAGTCTGGCGCGCATATTGTCTTCGGCGTTGCAAGGCGGGTTCCTTCTCCGAATAATTTATAGAAGATTGTGAACACCAGGATAGTGTCCGGCTCTGCAAAATAAATTCCACATACCACCGTAGAGAGAATGATATTTACACAAGTTCAATCTGCTGACGTATTTGGTGGCGTGACGTCACACCACTACCAAGCCTTTACTCGAATCGTTTTTATTGTACCACCTCAGCATGTTTAGCGAAGCGGTTTCCTTGGCACGTCTTGTCGAAGCAGAGATCGTGTTCCCCTTATTCCGGGATTCTCATCAATACGGACGTGGGTAACCCAACCGCGCCCGTTGCCACGCCCCCTCCATCGAAGGCGGGTTCCAAACGGTCACGGGGACGGCTCTTGGTATTCTCTCTCTTTATAATGAGACCAAGGCTCGTTCTTTTTCTTCAATTCTCAATCGAATCCGCCCCTCGCCCCGAGTTCCAACACCCAGGGCTCCAGATTCGGGTACTTTCGACCTTCGACAATGTCCGGCTCCGACCTACGAGGCCGGTGGATGCCCTCCTCTGTCACGGAAGAGGACGTGCTAAAGCTGAGAGACGCCAGGTACTTAACCTACGAGATTTCGCATAGGTTGCCTGCCCGAGGGCAAGTTATTCCTACTCCCGAGCCCGGCGAGAGCGTCGTGTTTGTGTCTCACCTCCGTCGGGGTTTAGGCTTCCCGATGGATCCCTTCATGAGGGGGCTCATGTTTTACTATGGGTTGGAATTCCATGACTTGGCTCCGGAGTCCGTCCTCCACATCTCATCATTCATTGTCGTCTGCGAAGCCTTCCTCCGCACTACCCCTCACTTCAGCTTGTGGCTCAAAACCTTCAACGTGGAGCCGAAGATGATTGAGGGGCATCAGGCAGAATGCGACGTGGCGGTTATAAGCAAGAGGGTCGATGCTCCATGGCCCGAGGGCTCTTTTCAGGAGGAGCTCGGCTTATGGCAACAGGAGTGGTTCTATATCATCGCTCCCAGGGGCAGCAGGCAGAGGCCGCCGCCCGTCTTCCGCCCGGGCCCTCCACAACGGCTGACGTCATGGGTCAACAAGGGGCTCGACTGGGGGCCGTCCAAAGACGTACCCCTGTTGTAGGGCCGGATTCGAGGCCTCCAGGAAAGGGAGATCAATATGGTTGTTGTGGCACAGGTTATGCTGATTCGGCGCCTTCTGCCCTTCAAACGTCGCCCCCTCCGCCTGTGGGAATTTAATCCAGAGGGGCCACGGGCTCTCCAACACTTCATGGGTTTGACACCCGTGGAGATATACAAACTGTTCTTCGGATCGCAAGAGATGCGTCCGGACTTGACCGAGGATGCTGGCCTAAGCTGCAATCGCCCGGATACTCTAGTAAGTAGCCCTGTGTCCAGACACATTGTCCATTTATTTATCATGGGTTTGCCTTTTAACCAGCTATCCCTTGGACAGGAGTGGATAGCGCAAGCAAAACTGATACGGTGTCCGGCCCCCCTCCCTGAGACCACGACGGATCCCGTGTTAATCAAAATGTTGGAGGTTGCACCTTCGGAGGAGGGCGAAGGGGGGCACAGGGAAACTACCACCTCTGCCAAGGAGGCTTTCAGTAAGGGGGGAATCGAGAGTCCCTCCTTCCAGGGGGAGAAGAGGATCGCTTCCGAAGACCCGGAGGCCAAGGCCTCAAAGCGGGGGAAAAAATCTGCACCGGAAGGTCCTGTGCCGGGAAGAGCCCCGGCAGCACTGTCTTCTCAGAGGAATCAG